TAGGTAACACCTTCAGTGCTAGAAGGGAGTGGGGTTTGCTCTCTGTTTATATACAGTAACTTGCCCTGACAGTGTTGGTGGGGGAGTTGTTTTTTCCCTTGGTAGCTCCTAGACTAGGCTGTTGTTCACACACCACTCAAAAGAGACAATCACAAGCTAAAAAAGGAAACAAAAAGACCAGAAAACCTCCTCGCCAGCAATCAACATCCAGATAAACAGGGGTTGACACCAGGATTAACACCAGACAAACAAGCACTAAACAACAGCCTAATCTAGGAACTGCCAACTCAGACAATCAAGCAGTAAACAACAGCCTAATCTAGGAACTACAGTACCAAAGAGAAAAACCACCCCCCGCACACAGGGAAAGCTGCTGTGTATAAGCAGAGAGCAAACCCCACTCCCTTCTAGCACTGAAGGTGTTACCTAGACGGGTAACGAAACGTCTGCAAAAAAAACAGCCAAGCTCAGAGAGCACCAAGGACTCCACAGTTCAACCCTGAGCTACACATATTCTCTTCTAGTTTATTGGCTTTAGTTTTCTCCCATTTATGGTAACTTCCAGTCATTCACCCTACTTTTCCTGTCAAACATAACTACTTTTATACTATATTAAGTTTTGTATATTAATTTTCAGGCCCACATCACTTGTTGCTTTATACAATCCATCCACATCTATTGCAAATCATCCAGGTTCTCAGCCAGCACAGCATCACCTGTATGCAAACTTACATGTATCTTTCATGTCCCCAACCAACACCCCCTAACATCACTACAAAGATTACCTATATATTTATCCATAAATGCATTAAACAATTAACAGAACATCATGTCACATATATTTTTCTTACTTCCTGAATAATGTTAAGCCATTCCCTAAGCTTTCTCATATATAGTTTGCTTCTATGGCATATCGCTCTTATCACATTCACCAACCAATCAATTCCATATTCACATGAAACATTCTGTAATTCAAGCCCACTCACTTTGTCATACACTTTCTCTAAAGCAACAAATGTATAATAAAAGTCATTCATAACTTCCAAACATTACTATGGACCCTGCTTCTCCATATTATTATTTGCAATAGTGGGACGTGGCTCAATGCTAAAGACAACCAACTCTCTCAACAACAACTTATTAGGTGTTCAGATTATGTGGAACCATTGTAACATTAACTACCTTCCCAGAAAATGCTTTAATCAACATCAGTTCACGTTCAAGGCAAAACTAATATGAATATTCTGGCCACTCTGAATTGGAATCCCAAGCACACAACTTTGAGTTGTGGGTTGACCCATGCAGAATTGTATGAGACCTGGATCCTATGAAAATCTGCTTGCAAAAGAATGTAAAAAATGAAGGAATCTGGAGTAAGAGCAGCATCAATATAATTGGAGCTGAGAAATTGCAAGATTTGTGTAGGGAAGCATTCCCAGTATTTTTCCTCACTGTTCCAACACTCCTTATCTCTTTGTATGGCCCAGTAGTGCCACTTAGTCATAAGAAATGAATCCTGCTGATACACAGGCAGAAGACTGGGTTAATAGCAAAAAAAAAAAAAATACAAATACAAATAAAGTAAATCAACAAAATGAGAAATGGTCTTTATTAATAAAAGGAACAGTGTGAGGAAGAATGAAGAAATTAAAGCAAATCAGGTAATAAACAAGAATAAAAATAAATGCACAAAGTCCACTGTGTTTTGCAGGTATTTATTTTTTCCATTTATAACTGCAGGGTTCAAAAAAGGACATTATACTCAGCTTATCAAACTGGAGCCACCATCACTTCTTGGAAATCTCCATTCGTCAGTAGAGAAGTAACATTTCCCCATTTGAACAAACCATACTAATATCTGAAACAAAACCTGGGTGGGTTAAGGGGGCAACCGGTACAATACAACTAAGGGAAGGGTTACCTTTGGTCTCGTGAATCACCACTCTCCTTTGAGGAAGAAGCTGGCAAAGAAGAATTCTTCTTCTTTTCATCGCCCTTATCCTCAGAAGCATCTGAACATAGTTGAGGAGGGAGAAGGACAAGCAGTAAAGAAAGAAGTTGCCGTAAGGAAGCAAAGGGTCTTCTGCCTCTAGCAAGGTCCTAGGATGGTCACTTCCTTGGTCATGAGCTCTTCTACTGCAGAACCAACAAGAACTTTCGAGCAGCAGCATCTTTATAGAGACAGTGAGCCTCCAAAGCAGGGTAGAAAACAGCATGATCTCTATTTCTATCTTTGTTTAACACCTGAGGAGGCTTGGAAGAATATCTGTTACAACATATACAATGATGGAGAGAGGATGCTGTTTTTCTGGCAATTAAAAAACCAACCAACCAACCAGCCTTCGCCAGAAAAAGGATCCTGTTCTAGCTATATCTTTTTCCTGGCAGTCTTTGTAGCTTCTCAAAAGAGATACACCATGGGAATATTTAGGGTTAAGGCTGCATTCCTATGTAACTGGAAGCACATTTCTATCTTTGTTAGCTTGTCCTATGTTATGACTTTAAGCTTGCTCGTATTTTATTGCTTTAACTTTTTGAAGGTGCATAATTGTATTGGGGTTTTTTATTACCAACGGTTTTCAATGAAGATGAAACTACTGTAAATTTAATTTATAACTAAAATCGTTATAGTAAGCATTTGTGGATCTACTTGGTTAAGACAGCAACTATGAATCCTCATGCCAGTATCAGTACTGTGCTCTTGTAAGGTTGACAAAAACAGTAACCTAGAAATTATGATGTGACAAAACCTCTACGCTGAAAGACACACAATTACTGCTTTCACATCCTGCGTGAGCATTACATTGCTCAAAATAAAAAGTAGGTGTATCTTGATTCATTCCATAACATGTTTTTATTCTTTGAATCAACTCTACCTATTTTCTTACCTAGGAGTTTCTTCCAAGCCTTGATGAGTGATTTGGCAAGCGCAATCACATCTTCATCCGTGCTTTGCTTTCGAAGTGCGTTCACAGACATCCCAATTCGAGTAGACTGCAAAGCATTAAATAAGTATTTGTTTAAACAAATTAAAGAGTTAAATTACATTAAAATTAAACAAGAAGTGATTCATCCTATGAAGCTAGATTAAATTCCTCAGGATGAGAGAAGAGTGCCCAAACCCCAAGTTAAGGTCAAGCCACAGGCTATTCGGCAATTTGCACTAATTTCACAAAACAGCAGCTTTACAACTGTAGAGTTTATAAATCTTATCTCTGTCCTATTTTTTTCCTATTCTGCACAGGATCTTGGTTTTGCTTTCTACTGCTCTGGGACATGAAAGCACAACCTGAGATGGGTTTTGACGAGCACTGATATTAATAACCTTTTTCAAAGCATAACACACAGAGAAGTGTAGAGAAAGTGAGAGTATGTTAAAAGAAAAAAGATATTCAACACCATGATTTACCTGCAGTAAATTCAGTGTTATCGGCATACTTTTCAGTTCCTTCAGCAAATCCATTGCCCCTTCCTCGAAAATAAAAGAAATCCCACAAGTTACAGGCATCCAATATCGAACTAAGTTAAATTGTTTTGATGAGGGCATGTGAATACGAGCCACTTTTCCATATTTACAAGCGTAAGCAGAAACGGAGGGCTGTTACCAATCAAATGGGGGGGGGGTACAGTATAGGAATGGAAAAAACTACTTCATGGGTGCCAGTCAAAATAGATGGGATGAATTGAAACAAAAGATTCAAGTGTGACTGCCCAACTTAACCTTTTAAATTAGACAACGTTGTAGATTTCCAAGGACTTTTGATCCAGTTTTACCTGGCATCCTTGGAGCTGCCTTTTTCCTCAAGCTTTGGACTATCAACGCAATGAAGAAATTTCTAGATTTTCTTAACTTTCTGCCAAGCTTGCCAAGTAAACAAATCTGCAACCTGTCAAGGCTATCCAGCATTTCCTCCAACCGCTCACATTCGGCAAGTTTCTTGGCAAGATAGCAAATATAGTGAGCTTTTATAAAACATGGGCTCTACAGTGATTGAACATGGAAGCAGAAGAGGAATTCAACAGACCGGTTTTCTAGCCTCTGATCTCCCTTCTCCATAAAGGAGATCTATTTAATCTCTGAAAAGTATCCCATGTGCTTTTGATAAAATTTCACAGACTCCAAATAGGTTTTGCTAGGAAAGGCTATTTATTGTGGCTCCCCATATTTAGTACGATCTGATTTTTCTTTATAAAGTGCTCTAGAATCAACTTTGACAATTCAATTATAATGTTCAAATGAAAACAAATAGAAACAATTCAGCCTCCTATTGCCAAAGAAGCAATTACTGCAATTACTTAGAATCCAGGAGAAAGGAACAGATGTTACCATTTTCCCAGTAGCTTAATTCTGATTCCTGAATTAATCATTTTGCTAGTTTGCTAGTAAAAACTTGCAGAGAAAAACTGCATTGTCAGAATATAAAACAATGCACAAAACACAAGGTAAAGTCTCCTCTGAGTGAAGCTCAGAGCAGTTGGGCCCACAGGGAAGTCGCTGTACTTAAATGCCACTAGCTCTATTTCTGTGCAAAGGAAACATTACTTTGGGCTCAGCTGACATCTTCCCTTGCTGCAATGTCACACTGCTGCTTACCTGAACTGCTCACCTTGGGGCCCCTCCCCTGTCTGTAGATCTTATCTGCCCTTAATAGGTGTCCAGTGTTCACATCCTTTCTTTCTGGCTTCTGCAAAACTCTTCCTCTCAGCAGCATCATTGCAAACCTAGTTATGGGAAGCCAAGAGTTCCCAGACTCTCACCAAAGACCCTCAGTTTTAAGGCTTTCTAAATTATTCCTGCGCCATCGGCAAAGCAAAAAGACAAAAGTGGGAGGGAAGCACTCGTATTCATCCAAGTTCTGGACTTTTACGTTTTCTAGATGGCAAATTTGCAGGCAGAGGCCACTTGTCTTTGTGGCTCCCCAGGGCCTAATCCATTTTATAAATAATCAGTCTCAGTTTCCGTGGTCATAAATTACAAATGGGTACCTTATGGCCTGTGAACCCCAAAGGCAATTTAATAGGTCTCCTGCATATTTTTAAGGTTCAGACTCTTTCAAGTCAAGACCAGTTCCTGGTGCCTTCATGTAGTTTCCTTGAAAACAGCTTGGAAGTAGTTTGCCATTACGTTTTTGTGGTGTTTTTTTTTTTTTTAATTTCCCCACTTATTCCCATTCCCTATTTATTAATGTATCTTACAGCCCTCGGTTTTCCTGGCAGTCTCCCATCCAAATACTAGCCAGATCCAGCCCTGCTTATCTTTGAGTTACTTGTACAGTGAGATGGGTGGCATATATAAATTTGAAAAATAAACAAACAAACCAGACAAAGTTGGCTAGGTATTGCCACCTACCGTAGATTTCTCAGAAAGCAACGTTTTCTAAGAAATAAAAGAACCTAAATCCAAAATCCCTAAATTGAGGTCTACAATTTAGGGAATACATTTAAAAAACCACTTTGATCCACTGCCTAGAAAACTGCTCAGATGGAGTCAGGCTCACCATGAGGTTATCTGTATCTCAGCATCGTGAACCCTTTTCCATGCATATAAGGCTCACACAGGTATGAAAAATACTTGGTTTCAGGTCTTTAACTAATGGTGGTTAAACATATATTTAGATGAATCACTGACTATGGGAGGAGTCATAGTCCAACACCTCAGAAGGTCATTTTAACAGGAGAAATGTCCTCAAATGATCAAGAGACCCGAAGAAAAAAAGGAAAAGGATTGTAGGGTTGAGATGACTCCAAGGAAAACTAGCAGCATTGCCCCTTAATAAAAACACGGAGAGCATTGATCCAACCTTGGTTGACCTCAAGAGCCTGAGCAGTTGAACCAATTAGTACTTGGGGGCAAGGGCATCCTTAGGCACTGGGGGGTCAAAATCTGCAAAACGTTGCACGTGACATTATGATCCCCGGCTCCTCGCTATATGTGTGTGACATCATCCCCAAACAGCCGAGCCTTGATTTATCACCACCCTCACCATCCCACAGATTGACTCCCCATCATGCTGCTTGGTCAGGAGACCACCAGGAGACCTCTGGGCTCTAGGACAGACTGGGAAATCAGAAACCACCCTGGAAGGAAGTAGCAACAAACCAGTTCCACGTCGCTGCCAAGAAAACTGTGTGGACTGAGGGAGAGTTTCCCTTTCCTTACAGCAGGAGGGAACCCCAGTCAGGTTTGGACTGGCTCAGAAAAAGCAAGCCAGGTCAGACGGGTTAGTACCTGGATGGGAGACCACTAGGAAATCTCAGGTTGCTAGGCCAAACTGGGAAGTCAAAAATCTCCCAGGGAAAAAGCAGTTTTAAGGGCAAGCAGCACCCCCAGGAGTCGAGATGAACTCAAAGGGGCTTCAGCTCCTGGAAGCACCCAGAGAAAGGAGCAGGCAGGGTCTTTTTCCGTTGAGGACACCCCAGCACAGGGGAAGGGCCCCCTTCCCCTTAGCCTAAAGCGCCCCACGGGCTCACACGAAGAAAACACGGGAGCGCGCGAGAAAATAAGCCCGACGAAACACGACGGCGAGGGCGGAGAGCCAAGGCTGCGGCGACCCGGAGGGGGCGTGGCTTATAAGGGGCGGAGGGCGGGCCCTTCTCGCGCGAAGTGGGC